GCTTAAAAATCCTAAAGAAGACGGCTGCGGAAAAGGGGGTTTCTAGTAAATGTGTACACCTGATCGAAACCTTTTCATAGTAATGTACCTGTCCTCTATCAACATCCATAAATCCTCTCTGAAATCTTCCTTTTGTCTTCTGCTTTGATCCCTCTATTGTCAACTTGTATCTTAGATTTATTCCAACTGCATAAATCTGGTCAATTCTCTGATCTTGTTCTCAATCCTGTCCGTTGTAATCTTCCCCAGTGAAGATACCAGCTACTCTTCCACTTGTAGGGTCAACAATCCCTCTGATTTTGAAAACCACTCCATGGAAGGTCGACCTTCCCTTTCACTTGTGCTGCTACGCTTCAACCTCGATGCTGTTCTTTCACCTTCTCCAACCTGTCTGCATCTTCCTCTTTACCGCCTTTGCTTGCTTCACAGGTATTTCAACATTCTCTATAGATATCCTCTTTTACCCATCACCCTACATTAACCCATTGGAGCTGTTCTAACAAGACACTGTTTTACATTTATTGAATTGTTTGATTTTCTTTATCGCCATCATACATAAATAATACTAAATAAAATAGTAGATTATTGTTTAGAGCCTAGCTTCTAAAGGTTGGACTAAAATATTTCATTTTATTATTGTAAAAACAATAATAATACTATACTATAAATATTAAATAACACAGTAAAGGGGTCTTACAATCTGGTCAATTATGCTTTTTTTCATCTTTGTTTCTGCAGAGAGCATTACTAAGCAAATGCCATAACTTTTAGGTTCTCTACTGTTACCTTCGATGCTAATGTATAAAGGCATCCTTTACCACTGTCCTGAGCTAAAACAGTATGTGGCAGAGTTTTTGTTGCTTGCAGCCCCTGACCTTGCCTCAGAGGTTCAAAGGTCACAGTGTGGGTGTTGATGTGTATGAAGTGTGGGTCATTGAGACACATGCAAAGTACAGAACGAAGCAGGGAAAAGTCAAATTGGTGTGTATCACATGATGTGAGTGAGGAGGGTCTTTGTTACTTTGGACGAATTTATACATATTGAATATATATATACATATAAATGCAAAAGAAACAGGCGAAAAGCTAGAATGTATGTGTAGGCAACTTCTGCTGTCCCGTTGGTTCATACAAATATTTTAAGTAAATAAACAGTTGTGTTTCCATAGCCAACTTTACTTTCTGTTTATTTGATTGTTTATTTGATTTCATTTGTTATCAAAGTAGTGTTTTTGCCTAAAATAATACAAACATTGCACCTTAAAAAAAATAAAAAGCTTCTTTTAACCGCTGGGTTGACTAATTTGTAGTTAATTAAAAGAAAAAGAAATAATTATATTACACCAACGATGTAGTATTTAGGTACAGAATTTTAACACGGTACAGCAGTGACACCTAGCGTCGAAAAGGTGTAAGTGCGTCACTTGCTGAAGCTCGTTCGTCCTGACGTGGCGAGTAGCTAAAGGGCCCCGGTCTCATCCGTGGGCTGCGGTGATTGGGTGAACAACGTGTTTGGCGAATTAAAAAAACCGGGTAAACCGGTGTCAGCAGCACGTGGTTTATGTAAATACAACAGGAGTGAAGCCGTGTCAGTGTGTGTCCTGATTTTAAAGTTCACACCATGGTGATCACAGTCACAGGTGGTCACAGAGACTGACTGTGGAGTTAAATACAAGGTAAGATCACAAACTTATGCAACATATCACTGTTTCCGTCTCTTTGTTTTTTAATGCACATTTTTACGCGTTCTTACAGTATTGGTGGAATATAAAAACTAAGTCAAGGTTTTGAAATGTGACGTCATGTTATTTTAAACAAAATATTATGCACACCGTGCGTTTTTCTCTTTGATCTTAAAGGACAGTTGGTATAAAATATATATATTTTTAATCAGATGTAAAGCATTTTTTGACCCTCACCCTCACCCATCATGTAAATGTATTTCCTCAGCAGGTGACAGCACCGGAGACATGCCTCAGCTCTCAGCAGCTGCAGTTCTGCAGCTGGCGCTACTGCTGTGTGCGGTGCCTGCGCAGTACTACATCAGTCAGTGGAGCGGCTCCACGGCAGCGCAGCGGTACCTGGCCACAACACGGTAAGTGCACGTCAGTTCGGATGTGAACTGAGATTCTCTGACTAACTTTTAATAAAAAAAATGCATTTATTATTTATTTATCTTATTTAAATTATGAACAGAAATTGATATTGACGTTGGCAACATCCATACATTCCCTCAGGGGTAAAGTAGTTAAGGCTGACATTCTTAGGGCTCTCTATTCTACCAGGTTAGTTGATAACTATCCATACAATAAAACAAGAAAGCATCCAGGAAATGCTTTATTTCTGCAAACTAAAAGTAAAGACTATTCTGGACTATACTCATCTTGATTCCTTTTGGGTTTTTTGTCAACAACATGTAAATGGATGGCGTGATTGCCGATCTTGTGTGTGTGTTTCCAGGTTAATCAAGATTTGGAAAGACTGGAGGAAGTCCTATCTCAGCAGTACTGCATGGACCGACTGGGCAAACCAGAAGATGTCAGATATCAAGTAGGTTTAAAGTGTAGAAGTATTTAGTTTGACAAAAACTGCAATGAAGACTTAAAAACACAAGATTTTTTATTTATTTATTTGTTTGCATTTAAACCCATTCTAACCTTGCTTTCGGGTCTCCATTGAAAATACATACGGTATTCTTCACAGGTCTCTGTTCGGCATTGAAGAGAAAGTGAGCGTGGCCTCACCTTCTTTTGATACAATGCTGTATGATAACGACAAGGGCTTCTTTGGAGGTATGTGTCTGTATGTGTACATTTATACAATGTTTTTTTTTTTTTAATTTATATTTCTGAACCCTTTTACCCTGTAGCAGTGCAGTGCTTGAATGTGAATTAGTTGATTCACAATTGTACAAATTGTGTAATAGTTTTCCTTTAACTAGTTATAAATAGTTATTAAAATAAAGTTGACTGTTTTTTTTTTTTTACCTGTAGCCTCTAAGGTAGTACGCAGCCCTCGCCCTTCGTACGTGTTTCTCCGGGTTGGAGAGGTGGTGATGGAGAGGAAGGGCCACATGGTTGGGGTGGTCGTGAGCTGGGACTCTGAGATGCAAGCCCCTCCAGAGTGGGTCGACAGAGTGTATTCACACTTTGAGGTAAGCAGACGCTTCTTGATTCTCTATAACAATACTGGTCGCTAGAGGGCTCTTTTGCAACAAAAGCGACGACGGACTAAGCTCCGTTCAATACATTAATACATATAGTATATTCTTAATACACAACTCTGACGATGGTTTGAATTTTAAAAAGAAAATCCTATGTTTACTCTGCCGTTGGATTGATTGTTTTCAATTATTTTTTATTCTTTCTATCTCCTTAAAAATGTAAATATTTCAAATCAGTTTTTCATGTAATAATAAATAAATTATTATTTATTTATTATTTCAAATAGACACAGAATCGTTTGGAAAAACTCATATGGAACTATTCAAATAGCTTCAATCATAGCCAAACTGACTTTAATTCATTTGTGTTTGCATGTAGGGCGGTGCTGCCAGAAAGACACCTCATTATAAGGTCCTGTTCAGCGGCCCAGGACCCACCTCTCTGTTAGTTGCCTATCTGCCTCAAACACAACTGGAGCGAGTCACTGGGACCAGGGTAGGTACTGGAGAAATCCCAGCACACGATCTTAATGACAATTATCACAATTTTTGATTGTCCGTAGCCCAACATCCCCACCATGGAGAAATACTTCACACACTTTGATGGGAAGAGGTTCGTCATGCAGCCCTGGCTGAAACAGCTGTTTCCTGAAGATGAAGCTGAGCCTGCCGATCAACTCTAACTGGAAAAACAGTACATCTGATCTTTTTTTTTTTTAAATAAACCAATAATTTAATCAACCGCAAATGTATAATAAATATTTTTTTATTTGAAATTGTGACAAACGTCTTCAGTGTTTTTTCTTGTTTCTGTCTTTGAGGCCAAAAGTGACCGTCACCCGTGTGGATGCAGTGATTGTTGGTGGACGGAGTAAATGAGAAGAAGAGACAGAGTCCTGCTCTTCTTCGTGTCTCCACTCCCTTGTCTCCTCTTCTCTGATCAGCAGGGGGGGACCCAGACTCTGTTCAAGGAGCCGGCTGACATCACTGGCCTTCTGCTGGGCATTTTCAACCGCAGACACACACACCCTCTTCCTAATACACAGATAAACGTACAGTAATGATCAGTCTACATGCATGTAAAAGTCTTAGTAGACGTCTGTCCTTGGCGAGGGCGAGCCTCGTACATCCCTACCTCAGTTGACTCAGGCATCCCTCACTGTGGTAAAAGTGCGGCAGTCCCACACAGACACTCTTGTCCAACTTCTCCAGCAGGACCCCACACACTGTTCCCATCTTCTCAAAATCCGAGAACGTTACGGTGACCTGTGGGAATGTGGTGAACCATA